TAATAACTAAGATTCATAAAAAAATTCTCCTACATATAATGACCAAGTATAAGTACAGTAAAGTACTAAGCAGTAATCATCATGATCATGATTGTATCAAGTGCTGTCTATTTCATATCTTTTTGAATGCCCGCCTTGGTATGATTTAAGCAAGATAACTTTGGTTTTTTTTTTTTTTGGCTAATCATGCTAATTGCTATAAATTGGTGTTAAAAATATGTTTGAATGAGGTTTGGTCATTTGTAAGTGTAGCGATGGAAAAACATTTACAATATTTCAGATAGCTTTTCTCAGCTTAACATGCATAAGGTGATGGTACTTTAGAGCTTGGGGATACCTGATGGAACATTCTATCATTAAAATGATATTGTCCTACTGATAGAATAACGATAGAATTCATTTGATGTTTTGGAAATTTAGCAAGGGAAAAACATAGGTAATCAGAGATTACAGAGCTCACCTCAACGAATGTTGTCTTTAAGTAAGGCAAAGTCACACAATTAACCAACAAAAAGTATACATTCCAAGAATGAAAATATTTTTAAAAGCAATTTTGATCTGATACTTTGAAATAGACCTACATAAAAAATTTAAACTATTCTTCTTCGTGAAAATGTAATGAAAATCCAGCATCTGAAGCAAATTTGAGAGTTTTCATCTCTTGATGCAGCATTTGTGCAAGTTTGTTTTATACAATGTTATATAAGCCTTATTGTTTTTGGTAATAGACCTGCAACCATAACTTTTACCTTGTCTATTATCTGAAAAATGTATGTCCAATACAGCATCCGAAGCAAGTCCATTAGTGTGCATCCTTAGACAGTCAAGGGCATCATGGAAACAAGTTATTTTTTAAATGATTTGTTTAAGTTATGAAATGTCAACATTTTGGGTTATCTTTCCCTGATTATGCTTTTCTTCAGTAACTTATTCCAGTTATTGATACTTTACTACTCATTATTGTGAAGCTACTGGCATCTGAAAGGCTTTAGTCATGCTGTGCTTGGATTATTAAGTACTGGTAGATGGTTCATGAGAGGAAAAAAGAATCTATCTTTACAATCTAGCACATTGAAATTGCACAAATCATAACTTATTTCTGTTATTTCATCCTTAACCCACCTCATTTTAGAGCTCTTGCACAAAAATATACAGCTTTGCACAAAAAATGCAAGACTGAGAGATTGGTGAGCAATGTCCAAAGATTATTAGAAAATTAGTCTCAGTGTTGGCAAAATTGGCGGAAGAGGTGTAATTGACCCCTGAAATGTTTATGAAATGGAATCATTTTTCCTTTTAAAAAAATCATGATATTTTATACATATCATTGTATCTGCTTAGGAGATATTAAGTTTGTTGAGTTTTATTAAAAGAAGTACATATATTTACAACTTTCTCAGCCTTACATCATCTTTAATCAGCAGAGAACTCAACATATTGATGTTTCTTGACAAAAGTGATAGACATTCTACTTTTTAAGAGTTAACTCAAATGAGTTACTTCTTTGTATAGTCATAAATAAGTGAAGTAACCTGTACAAGTTATTTTAAAAAATAACTTCATTCCATGATGCCCCTGACTGTTAGATGTATCATCCATGCAAGTTTGCTCATTATAAGAGCTCATAGTTTATTGGAAATGAAACATGCATCAAAACTAACATTTTCACTCATCCACAAAAAGTAGGTCAGATTCAGCATCCAAAGCAAGCCTGGAAGTATGCATCCTTAGATGTATCATCTATGCAAGACTGGTCATTAAAGAACTCATAGTTCCTTGGAAATGAAACCTGCACCAAAAACTTTTAACTATTCACTCAACCGGAAAATGTAGGTCAGATGGTAGTGTGCATCCTTCGCATCCGAAGCAAATGAAACCTGCACCAAAAACTTTAACCTGTTCACTCAACCGTGTGCATCCGAAGCAAGCCCGGTTACTTCCATCCTTAGATGTATCATCCATGCAAGTTTGGTCAACATAGGGCTTATAGTTACTTGGAAATGAAACCTGCACCAAAAACTTTAACCTAATCACTCAACCGGAAAATGTAGGTCAGATTCAGCATCCGAAGCAAGCCCGGTAGTATGCATCCTTAGATGTATCATCCATGCAAGTTTGGTCAACATAGGGCTTATAGTTACTTGGAAATGAAACCTGCACCAAAAACTTTAACCTGTTCACTCAACCGGAAAATGTAGGTCAGATTCAGCATCCGAAGCAAGCCCGGTGTCATATGCATCCTTAGATGTATCATCCATGCAAGTTTGGTCAACATAGGGCTTATAGTTACTTGGAAATGAAACCTGCACCAAAAACAGATTTAACCTAATCACTCAATGCAAGTTTGGTCAACATAGGGCTTATAGTTACTTGGAAATGAAACTTGCACCAAAAACTTTAACCTGTCACTCAACCGGAAAATGTAGGTCAGATGCAGCATCCGAAGCAAGCCCGGTAGTATGCATCCTTAGATGCATCATCCATGCAAGTTTGGTCAACATAGGGCTTATATTTACTTTTAAATGAAACCTGCACCAAAAACTTTAACCTAATCACTCAACTGGAAAATGTAGGTCAGATTCAGCATCCGAAGCAAGCCCGGTCATGTGCATCCTTAGATGTATCATCCCATGCAAGTTTGGTCAACATAGGGCTTATAAGTTACTTGGAAATGAAACCTACACCAAAAAATTTAACCTGTTCACTCAACCGGAAAATGTAGGTCAGATTCAGCATCCGAAGCAAGCCCGGTCATATGCATCCTTAGATGTATCATCCATGCAAGTTTCGTCGAAGCATAGGGCTTATAGTTACTTGGAAATGAAACCTGCACCAAAAACTTTAACCTGTTCACTCAACCGGAAAATGTAGGTCAGATTCAGCATCCGAAGCAAGACCTGATAGTATGCATCCTTAGATGTATCATCCATGCAAGTTTGGTCAAACATGGGCTTATAGTTACTTGGAAATGAAACTTGCACCAAAAACTTTAACCTGTTCACTCGACCGGAAAATGTAGGTCAGATTCAGCATCCGAAGCAAGCCCGGTAGTATGCATCCTTAGATGTATCATCCATGCAAGTTTGGTCAACTTATAGTTACTTGGAAATGAAACCTGCACCAAAAACTTTAACCTTGGAAATGAAACCTACACAAAAACTTTAACCTGTTCACTCAACCGGAAAATGTAGGTCAGATTGAGCATCCGAAGACAAGCCCGGTAGTATGCATCCTTAGATGTATCATCCATGCAAGTTTGGTCAACATAGGGCTTATAGTTACTTGGAAATGAAACCTACACCAAAAACTTTAACCTGTTCACTCAACCGGAAAATGTAGGTCAGATTCAGCATCCGAAGCAAAGCCCGGTGGTATGCATCCTTAGATGTATCATCCATGCAAGTTTGGTCAACATAGGGCTGATAGTTACTTGGAAATGAAACCCACACCAAAAACTGCACCAAAAATGTTAACCTGCTCCAAAAACATTAACCTGGTAATTCCTTTGCTGAAATTGCAGCATCTGAAACTCTGTCTGGTACAATAAAACACACTGAAACCATTTTCCATGCATGTCTAATCAGTATAGGACACAGAAGTAATTAAAAAGAAAACTGCTCCAAAAAACTTAACCTTTAACCTGGGACGCCGACACCGACGCCGAGAACACCGAGGGTATCACATAACCTCCCCCCAACTTCGTTGAGGTGAGCTAAAAATGGCTGAAAACTCTAACTCATTGCATTAGCAACAGACAATCCTGAAAATTCTAAACATGGCATGTAAATTTCAAGGGATAAACGAAAACCCTGGGGAAAATGTTAAATTTTCATCTTTATAGCGAGCTCAATAGACTAAAGTGTGAGAACAGAGGAAATTCTGAATGAAATCTGTACATAGGTCTTTCGACAAAAATTGCCCAGGGTTTGACACTAACATTTTTAGGCGTTGGTCCAGCGGGACTAGTGGTTCTTTACTTTTATCAGTCTGCGGACAATTTTATGAGTCCGTCAAAAATATAAATAAATAAAATTAACATTGCAATGTACTTTTTATACTTTTATAAAATAAACAAAGCATTTACATGAAATATTTTACACCATGATTCGTTGAAATTGCACGATCAGGAACTACGATCATTACATCATCCAAATGTCGAACATCTTTCTTTATCATATGTGATACTAAATCATGATCGCTAAAATGTTTAATTTCATACAAATGAGTCCTAAAATTACACGCCAAATTGACTCAGAATTAAATAACTTTCCGCCAAGAAGTTAGAAAGCTAATTTAAAAATACATATGGGGTTTTCCAGTGAAAGTTGTCGAGAACATCGGTAATTTTTTTTCTCCCAAAAAACTTTTTTAGTCCATTAGGACTAATTAACCACAACTTTTATTAGTCCGAATGAAAAATTATTAGTCTTAGACTTACGGACTAACGTTAATGTCGAACCCTGTTGCCTTAGGTCTATAGTTTTAACTAGACACTCTGCTGTTTCCATAAACCCTGACGAGCTCTCGTGTGATGTCACAGTCTAGATGTCTTGTGCGATTTGACATTTGAAGTGGCGGATCAACGTTTCAAGTATATTTTTGAAGTTGCAACTAATTGCGTTCGCCCCAACTGTCACACCGTAACACATATTATGTGCCCCATATTATGTATTATTTTTTGGGAGAAAAGGCATAAACCATGTGTAAACAACCTCAGAAAGATTTGTTTTTATGAATTTTGTAGTATTTTCAGCTTAACCCATTTCGAATTCTTTAAAATCATTTCGGAGCGGGTATGCTCCGATTTGCTCACTGAAAGTGTATGGGAAGTATTCTAACTGCGGTGAAGGTTTGTTCCCATACACACTTAAATTATTCGTACGAAGGAAAACCATCGGTTCACAATCTCGATCTCGGAGAACTTTCGTCTGGTGTCAGTTCCTTGGCAAACCGACCCATCCGATATTCAGATTAAATAAACTATCAAATTTGTTACTTACCAGAAGATAAGAAGGATATATGGGCAAAAATTATTAAGATATTGATATACCACTTCTTATTCATTATTATACAAAAGCCATTCTTAGTCTCAATTTACAGGAAGTACAATTGCGCCATCTATCAAATTTAGATAAGTTGTTCCAAGAAAAACTCTATTTTTTTCTCTAAAGATTGCTCATTTCTTTGAAGTACAAAAATGACTCACTTATTTAATTAGATAACAAGAGAAGTAAAATATCATAATAAGTTCAAGAGGTAAACAGAACATTAAAAGGAAGAAAGAAACGCTTTCCTTTTTTGCATGTTTAGTACATCACAACATTCATGAAGTTTGTATTTAACATTTATCATGAGATTTGTTCGCTCAAAAAAAAAAAACTAGACACTAAGATTCTCTTAGATAATTCATTCTTAGATCCATCGATCTTTTTTATTGATAAGAATATATTCATTATAAAAATGAGATAGCATCGAGTGGTAAATACTTTCTTTAGAGAATTTCAATTTTAAAACCCCCAGACCTCACCGTAGATGGGACATACTAAAACAAGTCCCACGGGGAAAATAAGTCCCACATGAGTCCCACAGAAAAATAATGAGTCCCACCAGTAAATATGATATTTTATTAATATTTAACAACATATTTTTATAGAGTATCATTGTTTAGATATATTTTGAATAAAATTTTGTCACAAAAATGTTTTAGAAGCCGGTTACAACGATTAGTTACAAAAACAAAGAACGATAACTCCTATATCCTCATATAACTATAGTGTTTCCTAATCCCAACAATAATGATAACACTTAATATTTTAGTAGTTTTTGAAAACAAATATTAATAGATATTATAATTTTATTATTAAATTAATTATATTTTAGAAAGTCAGGAAGTTCTAAGATGTTTTCTAAAGATTGTGTATAATCTAAGAGCAATAACTCTTACATCTGCCTCAAGTATCGAAGTAACAAGCCATCCAAATTCTAATTTTAAAGATTTTATGAAACTTTCACAATGTTCCTTGGTTTAAATGCCTTCTGTAGCAGTTCTAACAACTGAAAACCTACTACCAAAAATAGACATTTTCAATAATTTTTTTTTTTTTTATAAATTTAACAATTTTATAATATCAAAACTTGGGAAATTCAATGAATTTTTACAATGCTAGTCTTGTATTTATCAAGCATATGAGAAAGAGATTTTTAATTGATATGTGCAATTTACTAGCTCAATAATCTAAAGCCATTCTTTCTTTGAAAATTATGACTATACAGTCCTAGGAAATTATATAGACCTACAAAGCTAAAAGTATTGTTTTAAAGATATAGAAAGTGAACTACTTTACTCATTCATAACAATTCAATGAAATTGGAAGTGATTTATATCGGACAAAAGTGATAAACTAGTATTTTAATAATATTTTAATTTATCTAGATTAAATTAAACTTTTATAATACTCTGTATTTTATAAAATACAGAGTATTATAAAAGTTTAATGTAATTTAAATAAATTAAAATATCATTAAAATACTAGTTTATCACTTTTGTAATAACAATTCAGTGAAATGAGGAATCAAACTGCAAAAATCAAAATTCCAGTTGATTGAGTTGAGATATAGCTGTGTTATGAAAAACTTTCAGTTAATTAGAGAATTAGTACTCAGATGCATGGGCTTGTATTCAGGTATCCTGGAAATATATTTGATGAATATGATGAACTTGTGGAAAATAAACATGTTAATTATAATCTAAATTTTTATCTTAATTTACATGATGAATAATAAACACATTTTTTAAATAAAGAAAATGGATAGGTAACAGCTACTTCTCTGCATGATATTTGTTCTACAAATTAATACAAAACTTCAATGGTTGTGCCTTTAATACTATTATTTGGAATCTTTTCATACAAGTCAAGAATTTACAATACAGTTAATGCTTTCTTAATTAGTCTTATTCTAAATCATAATTCTTATAATTTAAATTTCAAAGAATGTTTTATTTATAAAATCAAATAGGAAAATATTTGATTAATCACCTTATTTGTCATACATAATAGTAGCTGAAATTTCAATAATTCTATTTCTACATTTAATTAAATATTTTATTTGAAATCCAAATGGTGTAACCTAGCCCCAGCCTTGTTCAAAAGTTATTGTAATAGGTATACAAACAACAGGGAGATTGAAAGGTGTGAATAACATCCCCAAGGTGTTGTTTACAGTTATACCAGGGACGTACCTCCACAGGTGTCTGTGTATATACACAATAAACATTGGTGTCAGTTACCAAGTTGTTGTCAAATAACATAAAAACACAGTAAAACTATTTTAGTTTGTAAGAAACAAAGTAATTATATAAAATCATTATAATAAAATAAAACATACTTTTAGTTGTATATAATGTAATTGGAAGAATATTTTCAAACGAAACTTAAAAATTCAAGTAAAACAGAAGAACAAATTTAATTCAGAAATAACACCATATTAAATTAACTTCCTTATTAAAAAAATATTTTACAAATATCTTTTTTTTTTTTCAGAAAAAAAGTTACATGTAGCTATCAGCAGTAATTAAACATTTTCAGTATAGTTCTTGGTCATTGTTTACATTTGAACAGAGTTATCGTTCTTGACTGTGGTCTGAAATTTACAATCGTCTATTTAACACACTTAAAACATTTTATCAAATCTTTTTTTGATATATGGTCATATAAATAAAATATTCTTTCAAAATAACCCTTTATTGTATGTAATTATTGGCTCTTTTGCTGTGGGACTCACGTAGGACTCATGTGGGACTTATTTTCTCCGTGGGACTTGTTTTGGTATCAGCGCCGTAGATAAACAAATGGATGACCAAATCTCTTGACCCACTTTGTTTAATATGGTATCTAAAGGTATGTCAGTAGTGTTTAAACTGTAATTTAATCACAAAGAAATGTAATGTATTGTTGAAAAACATTTAGATGAATATTTAATCTTTAACTGAAAGTTTGTTCCTTTAGGTGTCATTGTACGTCGTCATTAATTAAAGTTCAAGTAAAGCCTGTACATATGGAGCACACCTTGTGTCTTTTATAACAAATTTAAATCACATATAGTTCGACCTGATTAAAATCAAGTTGTGCCAATCTATCCCCCTATCACCTGCATATTATTCAATAC